AACATCTAGTTTCAAAATCTTTTACTGTGTTTTTTTGTTGTTTTTTTGTTTTGTTTTTTGGGGAATTTTTTTTTTTTTTTTTGCTGTATGCGGTTTCGTGTTGTCATGAAGGAAAACAACATTTTTCCTTTAATTCGCAATGTACGCTACCATTGCCGTGCAAAAAAACTAAGCTATGTTAGTGTACTCCATGCTCGGATACTTCTAGTTCTTTCTGATTTTTTTTTCCAATTTTTTCCTCGGATACCAATTTATTTTGATATACTTGAAAATTATGCCATCAGGGTTTTTTTTTAATTATCAAGTATGATTATTACTGCATATATATATATTTGGTTGAATTGATGTGAGTTTGTGACCCTGGGTTATGCAACGCCCGCAAATGGGCCGGGGAGCCTGTCGGTCTGTGCTGCTCCTCTGGTAAATTTCAACTGCCACCTCTGCATGAAACACCTACCCAGTTGAGGGGACTAATAGCCGGCTCCCATCCCGGCTCCAACCACTTCCTTAAAACAATTAGGTAATACAACAATACTTTCAAAGTACAGGGGCAGGTATACCACCGCATTGGGTCTTTGCTGCCTGAGGCCTCTACGTCTAAATTTCTTCAACTGTAATTTATTGCAGACGACAACATACAGGCCGAACCGCGGATTGGTATTTTGCCGCCGTCGGGAAGACTTCCTCGCGGGACGTCATGCTACTACTTCAGACCATGCTTCACGAGGTTAACAGCTACATTTGCAGTTTCAAATATGCTTTGGAAAATGCTCCCTTTCCTCCCCTTCAGCATTGTAATTGACGCCGACAAACGGCCTCATGATGAACACGAACGCCGCTACAATGCTCCTGCGTGCAACGAAGTGGCCGCTATTATACATGGGGAGCAAGACCGCACTCGCGATATTGTCCTCAGATCAAGAAGCGGCGCTCTTCGCAGGATTTCAGAAACCCATCGATCATATGACGCATTGCTGTAACCTTTACTTTTCCCTTATGGTAACGATGGCTACCACTTCGGCATTCCCCTTCATACTCCGGGTGGCCAACCTATAACGTCTTCCAAAGCCTTATCGTGCAAGACCTTCTACTCATACCATTTCATGGTTAGGGATGGAGACTTCAACCTGCTTCATAGATGCAGGGAGCTTTTCCACAAGTTTGCGGATGACATGGCCGCTAAGATAGAATCGGAGAGGCTTTGTTTTATACGGAATCATTAGAAACAGTTGCGCTCAGACACCCTACGTACACCTTACGCGACAGCCTTCGAAATTAAGTCAATCCCCGGGACCTAGGGAAGCTGTGCATTCTACACTCTACCTACACTGGGTGGGGCGTTAAATGCAAGGACACACGCAGGAGGATATGACATACTTTAGGCAATATGGGCAGCCAGACTTATCTATAACTTTTACCTGCAACCCCAAATGAGTTGTGATAACGCGTGAACTCCTAACCGGATAGGATTACACACACAAACATGACATTATCGTCCGCGTATTCCGTTTAAAACTGGGAAAACTTACGGACTTAATAGTGAAGGGGCAGTTTTTCGAGCCTGTGACATGTACACTGTTGAGTGGCAAAAAAAGGGGGACTACCCCATGCCCACATACTCATTTGGCTTTCTACAAAAGTTGACGGCAGTCAAATTGGCAGCGTTATTTCTGCCGAAATTCCGGATCCGGGTGACGACAGGGACCTATTTGAGGCTGTGAGATCCCACATGGTCCATGGGCCATGCGGTCCAAGCTACGAGGCACGCCCCTGCTGTCAAAACGGCGGACCATGCTCTAAATGGTTTCCTAAGACATTTGTTGATGAGACGCAAACCGGTGGGGATGGATATCCTTTGTACTGGCGAAGGGTTCCAGCCAGGGGTGAGCGACCGATGCAAGTTGAGGGGGCATCGTGTTGACAAGAGTTGGGTGGTACACTACTGTCCCCTTCTCCTCAAAATATTCAATGCTCATATAAACGTTGAGTTCTGCAATTCCGTTCGCTCCATTAAATACATATGTAAGTACGTTAACAAGGGCAGCGATGCCGCCATGTTCAGCGTTAAGGGGAACAACGGCCGAGATAAAGCTTTGCAGTACTTGGCTGGGCGGTTCCTCATGAGGCTTTTTGGCGCGTTTTTGGCTTCCCAATTCACCAGAGGAATCCAGTAATCGTACAGCTGGCAGTGTACTTAGAGAACGGACAGCGGATTTACTTCACTGAACGAACTGCGGTAGCTATTGCCGAAAACCCGAAAGACACAACTTTAACAGCCTTTTTTAAGTTGTGCCTTCATGACGAGTTCACTCGAACTTTGCTATATCCACAAGTTCTATCATACTACGTTTGGGCGAACAATATTTGGAGTCGCAGGAAGTCTGTCCAGAGCGTTGACGGGTACCCCGGCATTAAGTTTGATACCTGCCTTGGTCGGGTCTACACTGTGTCACCAAATCAGCAGAAGTGCTTCGTCCTCCGGCTTCTTCTTCATGAGGTTGTTGGTCCGACAAGCTTCGAGGCCATTCACACTGTTGACCGCGTCATGTGCAACACCCACCTTAAACGTGGCTTGCCTTAAACGTGGCCTTTTGTAGGATGATTCTCAATGGGATGCTGCCATGACAGAGGGAGCTCTCTTACAGGCACCTTCAACCCTTAGATCCTTATTCGTGATCTTAATAGTAAGATGCGAAATAAGTGACCCCACCTGCTTTAGTACAAAGACTTCATGTCGGAAGACATTTTGTAGGCGGCACAGCCGAGTTAGGCTACACGGACCTTATTTCAATAGGGCGCTCACTCAGGTTGAAGACATTGCTCGTGAAATGGGTAGAATTGCGCTAACTACATACGGGTTACCTCCGCCAGTGCGAGATGGCACCGCCGACTTTTCACCAGAAATACTGCTTGAAACGTCTTATTGCACTACTGACCTCGACCGCTATGTCCGAGAGAATGAATTGCGCCTCCTACCAGAACAAAGAACAGCTTACACCACGGTGATTGACGCCGCTCAAGAACAGTGCGGCGGCATCTTCTTCCTAGACGCACCCGGTGGTACCGCGAAGACGTTCGTTACAAAACTAATTCTCGCTGAAATCAGGCGACACGGAGACATCGCACTCGCTGTTGCCTCATCCGGGATTGCGGCCATATTTCTACCGGCTGGACGGACGGACGGACAGACGGACGGCGCACTCTATGTTTAGACTTCCGCTTGACCTTGCCAAGGCCGAAATTCCAACTTGCAGCATTTCAAAAGATTCGGGTCAGGCTGCCGTATTAAGACGTTGTAAACTCATAGTGTGGGACGAGTGCACTATGGCTCACAAACAAGCACTCGAGGCGTTGAATAGGTCTCTTCAAGACATTAGGGACTCCACTCCTCTCATGGGTGGCTTGACTCTCCTTCTGTCAGGTGACTTTCGACAAACTCTGTCTGTCATCCCTAAAGGAACAAGGGCCGATGCTGTTCGTGCGTGCTTTAAGTCGTCCAACTTCTGGGCACATGTCCAGTCATTGCGCCTGAACACCAATATGCGCGCTCATACTACTGCGGAAAACGGGTCCGCTGATTTTTCATTGGTCCTCCTAGCTCTCGGGGAGAGCCGAACTCCTTCGGACGCAGAAGGCACTTTATGCTTTTGCGTAACCTGCTTCCCCCCGAAACAGTGCAATGGTGGTTAAGTCTTTGGCACTAAATTTAATTGAAGCGACAATTCTTACCGTTTGCTGAAGGTGTGAAACTGTATTCATACCGCGCATGCAGCTATCGCCGTCGGGTTCAGATGTGCCCTTTACATCCCGCCGGTCACAGTTTCCCGTCAGACTTTGCTTTGCAATGTCCATTAATAAAGTACAGGGCCAAACACTACGTGTCGCGGGAATTCACCTTGGAGATCAGTGTTTTTTCCAATGGCCAGCTTTACGTAGGCTGTTCGCCTGTAGGTAGAAGCGAGAACGTATTCGAGGAGGTTCTATAGGTTGATGGGACGTAGGCGGCGACTGACAGCTACCTCTATGCGGTCTTCAGGACTGTATAAACCGTCGGCGACAGTACAAACCGACAGGCAAAGCTCCGATTCCCAAGAGCAGTTTTCCCTCTTACCACACCTTCACAGCCTACCAACCTTACAGACGTCGGTGAAATTTACTACACCGGGCCAGACAAATACTTCCTTTCACCTGCCTTCGGCGTATTCGCATGGCTGCTTGCGTTTTCTGTCAAACCTTCCTGTCTACTGCCACTGTCATCTCCATTACACCACTATCATCTACGCTGTGGAGGCATCAATAATTGTGTTAAGCGCCTCCCAGCTAAATGCATCGCTGATGCTGCATCCATTCCCAACATTTTTGAATAGCTGAGCGCTATAGGGAGTTTGCAATGACATACGCTTTCTCTAGGTTTCAGTGTTCAGTCCCGTCGTACAGGTGATCACCGGTAGTGCTACATGAAACGCATCACAGACATCACTCTTCACCTTTGTGGGATTAGTTTGGAATCTCTGTACTGTTCTTAGCCAGGTTTCGTCTATTGACTTAATCTACAACTGTACAATTTGTCTGCTGCAGGGAGTTGGCATCGTGGAATCCTTCTGGGACCAGCCAGTTAATTCCGTCTCCGCCTTGCTTCTCACGCACCTACCTGTTGACCTGTTTGTCGTAGTGCCATCGCCATCGGTCACTCAGCCTGTTATGCACGGACCGTTGTGTGCTTTGTGTTTACTGAAGTCAGCTTAAACGGTGGTCAACCCATTTAAAAAAGAGATGATTCAAGACGTACTTAGGGGTTGAGTTATTTCCAACTCCAAAATTCCCGGCACCGACAATTGGCTGCTGAAATACTGCAGCCAAATGAAAAGCTTATAAAACATTAACAGAAACTGTGGTATCAGAATTAAGAAATATTTAGGTAAACTAGAATTACGCGAACATATATATATATATATATATATATATATATATATATATATGTGTGTGTGCGTGTGTGTGTAATATATATATATATATATATATATATATATATATATATATATATATATATATATATATATATATTTTATATATATTATATATGCGCGGTAGTTATTCGAAAGCGCTAAATATCAGTGATAGAACAAACATATTTAGTTGAATTGATGTCAGTTTGTGATTCTGTGTTTCACGCTCTTTGTGATAGTCAGACAATCACAAAGAGCGTGAAACCCAACGTCACAAACTAACATCAATTCAACTAAATACATACATACATATATATATATATATATATGTGTGTGTGTGTGTGTGTGTGTGTATTAGTAAACATCTTTCTACAAAAGCTGTCCGGTTTGGCAAATGATTAAAAACTTTCCATTTAGTCCGTCTTTAAGATTAAAGAAGTTAAACAATAAAGTGAGAATGTTTGTACATTTTTTATATATATATATATATATATATATATATATATATATATATATGTGTGTGTGTGTGTGTGTGTGTGTGTGTGTGTGTGTGTGTGTGTGTGTGTGTAAAAAATAAAAAAAATTGTCGCTGGACTTAAAATACACACACATATACATATTTTTATCACTTTGAACGTTATTTTTAGTGTATACTGGTATTTGAGTAGACCTTCGTTTACTTATTAAACAATATATATATATATATATATATATATATATATATATATATATATATATATATATATATATATTCGTCTAATGGGCCTGAATGTTCGAGAATTGTTATTAAAGAAAAATTTACGCTCTCTGCGTCCCTCTGAACTACTGGTGTGCTCTGACCATCTGACCATTACAAAGAAGCAGGCCGAAGTTTTTTAAACGAAACGTCTTCTATCATTGATCTACCAATTTTTTTCATATGTTCAGTTTCGTATTCAAACTGATCCAGAGAATTTTCTAAAGAAAGTAATGTATTTTTATTAATCCGATAGATTTGTTCTTGAAATTCACTGGAGGAATTGCTCATTTGCAAA